GGGAAAAAATCTATCTGGACCTGAATGTGGTTTTAATTTGGCTTATTTGCCTATTGTTAACATTGTTGTCATGGTGACGTTAAGTGCAGAAGAGACAGTTTGTGTCGTTGCTGCCGAGTTCACACATCAGCGTACTGGAGAATTTGCTACCAGCTCCTAAATCGCAGATACAGGATGAAATAAGATGAGAACCCCTGTTATAAGGTGATAATATGTCAGTGTTTTGGTTTCAGCTTGTTCTGCTGCCCCCTAATGGCCAAAACAAAATCAATACGTCTATCTTTAACAATAATAATAGTCCCAGTCAGTGAGGATTTTGCAATAGTTGCTGTGGATTCCTACCTCCTCCTTGCTTTCATTCAGTTGTTTCTCTCTGAACATCTGTCGAGCATTTGTCTGACGCCCTCAGTGTTTGGACGTGGTGGTGAGTAAGAGGAGACACAAGACGAGCAGGACAGGATGATCGTCACGTAAATATTTTAGATCAGTGATTTGCCACCCACTCCTCAAAGTCTGCATCTCAGCGAAGCCGCCCCGCCTCTTCACTATTCATAGGATTAGTCAAGCTTTTCTCATCTGCCTCCCAAACCCGCAAAGTAATTGCCAGCAGGGCAGAGAGAGATTTTGAGCTCAGCATGTGGCTTCTAATAGAGGCGTTAGTGGGGAATGAAAACTGTGCAATTTAGGACAAACTTAAGCCTGTCTGCTGGGTGTGTAGTCTAATGGAGAAGCAAGTCCATGTGTGTGCGCGTCTGTGTGTCTTTAGGCTGCGACTGATGATTATTTAATGGATTGACTTTTTGATTAAATGATTGGCAGCTTCATCTGTACAATGTCAAAAAAATACTAACAACACCCATCACAAGCTCAAAACGATAGTAAAGATATCTACTAGATATATAAGAGAAAAGGCTGAGGTCTTGATTCCCCCCAACGCACCAAAAGATAAGTCTCTGCAACTTCTTAATTATTTGATTTTGCGATATTTTTTTGTTGTGATATCGTATTGATTCCCCAAAACACCATAAAAAACATTTTTTAACCTCCACTGGCTGTGAAGTTGGATGTTACAGGGACTGTGATAAACATATGCAGATCTCAAAGTAAACTTTTTACTAACATTGCAACATATGACTTTGCTTTCATATATCGCAGTATATTGAATTCCTAACCCCTGTATCGTGATATGTATTGTATCGCCAGATCTTTGCCAATACACATCCCTAAAATACACATTTGTGTTTGACTTCCAGATGTGAAGGTTTAAATGTTTTCTAAAGTGCAAGAAAAACAATTCTGGTCAGGAAACACTGACTTCTTTATGTATTTTGTTGACTTATCAAATATGATTTATATTGAATCTTGAAATACTTACAATGTAATGTTTCATTTTTTAAACTATAGAATGTAAAATCTTCCCGAGTTTCCAAGACCCCTGAATTCCCAGAAAAAAGGACATGACCTCTGTGTCCTTTGCAGACTTTCTGTCAGGGACATGAGGCTTGTTGCTCTTAGGATGATGTATGTAGCTCCTGTGTATTTAAGATCCTTTAACAGGTGTCTCGTTTTAAAACAACATTAGGGCTGAGTGAGTACTTCGCTGAAACGAGTATCTGGAAGGGATAATGTACCTTTTACGTACTTTTTTAAAAATATCAGTAAAATGGGTCAATATTCATTTTCTTAAATAATAAATAAAACCTGTTCTGTAAATATTTATTTTTGATCAAAAACTCTAAAGCTCAATTCTGAAGCTGTTTTTTAAATAGTTTTCTAAAATAAATATAGCAACTTTTGATCAACCCATATTAATTTCACCTCCTTAGTCCCGCCCACACCTGGTTTAAGCCCCGCCCACTGCCAGGATAAATACAGATAAAGATCAATTAGTTTGGTTGAACAGACACAGATAACGGAGTACTCACTCATCCCTTCAAAATCTGAAAAACCCACCAAGAGACTGAGTTTTCAGTCAACTCACATAATTTTACGTTAGCATTAACTTATGCTGTCTTGCTACCTCGCCCCTAATACGTGCTTGATGCTAGCGGTTCAAGAATGCACAGAATAAATATCGATATCTCTGGTTCTGCTGTATCAACCATAAATGTCTGTACACAATATCGTACACATAGATTTGTTCCACTCTGTTTTCTCATAATATTCTCTGTGTCTCCCAAGGTGGCGAATGTGGATCTCGCTGAGAAGACAATCTGGAAGCTTTCAGAGACATTGAACTTCCCCAGTGCCTCATATGAAATCTATTTATTTTCTACAGTGTTGAGACGACGCCTTCATTTCTACAAGTTCATCTTTATTTTCACATCTTCAGTCATCACAGACTGAGATTGGTATTCGTTTGTTTTATTTTTTGCTGTGTAAGAAGAAACTTTATGGTGCTCAAGGTGCTGGACATTATCAGTGATTACTATAGTGTCACGTGACCTAATGAAACGGTACATGTTGAACTTGATCATAACACTAACAGAGCAACTGTGTTAGAACTCTGAAATCAATTGGAGGTCTTATTTTTCTAGGATGAACATGGTGTCCCTACTGGCGTCGCGTCGTTTGTCCGTAGGCCTTTTTAAGCCTTTGCTGCTTGTTTGTGAGAGTGTGTGTGAAGCAGACAGCGCGTTTTCACAGACCATCAATCTGTCAGACATGTATGTGAGGAGTTTATTTTTTTAATTGGCTGCCTTTGACGGTATGTTATTCCCATACACACAGATCTCCTTAAATGTTGTACCGTACTGCAGCAGTGTCACTAATTCCAACATCTGGATCTGCGGTGCCATCTGGCGCAGCACACTGATGGGTTCGTGTTACCAGCCTTGGCAGCTCGGATAATGACAGAACCGTTCTGAGTGACCTCTATGTGTGAGGTATTATAACACTGTCCTGATAGAATCTAACATTTTAATATCCCTCGTTTTTATTTCCTTTTGGATTAGTCTTAATTTTCTTTTGTACGTCGGAAATGAAGAAAAATGAAATCACGCTACAGCTTGAACGAGAAAAGCGTCGCACCCTTCGCAGACAGATTTTCTTGTTCCCTGCAGTACCTCTGACAGCGCTGGATCATGAAGACAAACTGTGATAGAGACGTAATCTATTGTGTTTGAATATGAAACGATAAGCCTTCCGCTATAAGCTACAAAATGCCTTGCTGCAATAACGGTCTGCTTGTGTGAGCAGTTTCCTTTCCAAAATGGGTGTAAATACTGTACACAGTGACACATTAACAGAGTATTGATGTTTTTGTTTATGACCACTACAGATTCCTCCTTTGAGATTATCTATCACTTAATATTTAATGTATCATTGAGGAAGAGTTTGCATTACAGTCACATTCTCTCTTTTACTCTGCGACTGATCGGGCTGTTGTATATTTTCTGAAGCAAAAAAGTATTTGATTTCATGTGATGAGAAAAAGAGCATTTCTTTTAGCGGCCTCAGTCATCAGTCGTCTGTCATGTAATCCAGGATGTAAACACTACAGGTGAAGGTTAAATGTCAATATTATTCCACTCATCCCGTCAGACGTCAGGTGCGTGTGTTGTCTTTATGGAGTGTGTTGTTATGACACTCACCGCTGATGGAGGTATGAAGTCGAGGAAGTGAGGAGGTAAATGAACGGGTTGAGCACTTTAAGCGACAGATATGTCTTGTTCATGTTCATTCTTCTGTCATCAGTTTAGGGTAATTGGTTTACAAAGTGGTAATTATTTCCCATGTTGTCTGGTTAGACTTCAAAAAAAAAATTTTTTTTCATCTTTTATCAACGGTGCTTGGGGAATCTGTATATGATTTTTACGCGATTATCTTTTTTTCTTTCTCAGGTTCTTTGTCTTGTTTTTCATATCCGAACAATTCCTTTAAAGTGTCATTAATGAAGATGTTGTCAGATCTAAAAGAAGGCCAGGAAAAAGACTGTAATAGTAACTTTCCTTTTATCAACCTCAGCTCTTGAATTATACTTTTATTTTGCAAGTCTGTTTTCATACTTACACTGCACTATTAAAATATATCTTTTTAAATCCCTTGGTTAAATAGTGTATCTCTACAGGATCGTATTTCTTTTAACAAGTGCCTGGATTGGACCCAAAAAGATGCAAGTTTCCTAATTCAGTACAACCATAACTAACTCTTTGGCATCTGTTTCAACCAGGACATTATCAGTGTCATCTTTTTCAGTGTTAAGTTTCAGCTATGTGTTTGCAGAAGATACTTTTTTTCAAACCCATATTCCCCACGTTTTCTACGAAAACCCGCCCTGCTTTTTTTCTAAGTAGGGCGTATCTTTGTGTTGTGTTGTGGGCTGCATACCTAGACTCAGTGGTCTGAAGTAGTGGCATGCAATAAGTGTTAGTAAGTAAGTACAGTAAGCATTTCAGGTACTGCTTCTGGTAAAACACTGTAAATGTTAGTATTTGCTGTCTGCTCCTGACTATCTCCTTATGAACAGGTCTGTGGTGCAGATTCATGGTAGGTTGTAGCGCCACCGCTGTATTATAAAAGGGAGTTGAACTTCAGGTACACTGTAAAACCAGATAAGTTATTTCAACTCAAAAAGTTTGATGTGATCAGTTTCAACAAAAAAGTAAAACTAACAAAAGTTTAGATTAACATTCTTGATCAAGAAGTTTAGTCATTTTAAGTTGTACTGTGTACAAACAAACTACCTATTAAAGTTATTAATCAGGAATGTTTTTATAACTAAGTTAGTGCCACTTCAAATTACTTAAAGTTGTTAAATCAAGATTTGTTTAATTTAAGAGTTTGTATCACTTGAAAACTTTGATGTAATCAGTTTAAAGAAAAATTTGAGTGAAATTAACATATCTGGTTTAACAGAGGGAAAAAAAGCCAGGGTTGACAGGATTGCTTAAACTGATAATGTGTGAAACGCTACTATGACGGTGATGAAGATGTTAGTTATTCCAATATAGCTCAGGTAAAACGTATCCACCTTTTGTAGTACGAGTTTACCTGGAAGTTAATCCTGAAGTAATCTGGATGAACCAGTTCCCTCTCCTCGTAGTACAGCTATTTACTCAGAGCAGTGACAGTGTGAAAGTATTATTAGAGCGCGATGCAGCAGTGTTTTACTGACTGTTGCTGTGGTTGTCAAACTGCCAGTGGCATTATTTTAGCTACGCTAGCTGAATGGGTTGTGGTCAGTTAGCACCAAAATACATTGACATATATGGCCATCATTTTCTGCAGACCTTGTGGTCTTACAATTCTTTTCACTTAGTGCCACCAGCAGGTCAAACCTTTATTCATCCAGTGAAATATCTTAACATTTACTTTTTAAATAAAGGCCATCACTATTCATTATCATTATGATCAAATACCAGCAAAGCTACTGACGCCCATCAGTCTCAGCTGTAATTCGTTTACCCACAGAACCTATCTTCATTCTAATATCTTAAGGTCGGAGGTCAAGGGATCCCTTTGAAAATGAAAAAATGGTTGCAATTGACCAAAATGTTGTTTTCATCCAGCAGCTGTCAGTTTAAATCCAATCCAGCATGGCTGTAGACTCTGGCTGTGTCCGAAATACCTGAGTAAACTATTAGTGCCCAATATATAGGATTAGCGAGTGACTAAACAAACTAATTGGATAATTGGTTAATCATTTTCTGATTCCTGATCAAATCTCCTTTTTTAAGAATGTCCAAACTCTCTGATTTCAGCTTTTAAAATGTGATTATTCTTTTCTTTTTTCTCTATGACAGTAAACTGATGTTTGTAAATCCATATATAGATCTCAAAATGTGTGGACAAACCTAAACCAAAACCATAATTTGTCTACACATTTACAAAACATTACAAATGTACACATCTAATTGCACACACACGGATTGAGATACAGTTACACAACAATCCACTCACATTTGTAAGTAGCTACACATTGGGCCATGGGAAACACATTTTTCACCATTTTCTGACATTTTTACATAAAGAAATCAATCAGTCGTAACTTCAGCAGTCCTACTATACAGAGGATACATTTACACAATAAGATCTTTACATCACAAATAAAATTGCGGAGACTAACTGCATCTCATTATAGAGTAAATACAGAGTGATTGTAAACAGCATTTGTTTTTCTTTGTGAAATTGTTCTTTTTAAACTTTTATTTATTGTCAGACTTGGGAAATCATGTTTGATTCTGGTTGTCTATCAAACTGAAAAAAATTTTTTTAACAACTTCACCAAGAAAAGTGTACACATAGAGAAGAGCTTGCAATCGTATCCACTTAGAGACTGTGCTGAAAGAAGCTGTATTCACACACATTCACCTCTTCGGGGCCATTCGTCTTGTGTTTGCCCAAGTCTCAAAAAAAGCACCTGCAGTCTCTTTCATAAGGTTGTATGAAAACATGACTCGGTTCGCTAAACATAGCTTTTATATTACTTTCAGTGTGTACTGCTGCGTGATGGCTATGATTTCAGAGAAAAGATGCCAAAAACAGTTTTGTGGAACATCAGTTGTGCTGCTGAATGCCTGCAAACACTGCATGCCTCGCAACCACAAACATCACATTTAAGCAAACTAGTGAACTAAATGTTGAGTAAAACCTGTCGTTGCATAAAGGAGGAGACATTTTAGGTCCTGTCGAGTACAGAGTATACCTTCCCTGAGGCATTTTGAGTCAAAACTAGAGTGTGTCCCTTTTGGATCCTCTCAGTGTCAAGTGGGGGCTGTAAGACTTTTCCCTCTCGTTTCTTTCTCTACGTGGGCTAGAAGTCGTCGTTATCGCTCCAGTGCATGACTGGTTTTATAATGTAAATAATTAGGCATTAGTTAAGCCCTTCTCAACCATTTTATGTTGGCTCATTTCCTTTAACATCTAACAGCTGTGAATGATTTCTAGCACGCAGCACTGCCCATGATGTGTTTAT